TGTCCGTGACAATACTGACGAAAATTTAGCACAGGCTTATCATTGTCGCAGGACGATGGGCAGAAGACTTTTTCGCACAATACTCACCAATCCTCCTTCGGTTTCCTACCAAAAAATTTTTCCTTCGAAATGAAAAGTTAGCTCACAAAAGCTTATGAAGAACGTTGGACTTCCTGAAGGAAATAAATATGAATATATAAAGATAAGATGGGAGAATCGCAAAACATTAATTTTTTTACGTAGATGAAAGGAAGTCCAGAAATTAGCAACATTTTTACATTTAAAAAGCCCGAATCATGTATGCGTTTCCTGGAATAGGATAAGGCATCATCGAAAAAATATAGAAGCTGAGAGGTGTAAGGAAGAGACAAGTGCAGTGAGCTGAGTGGTGCCATGAAACTAGCTCAGCTTGTAGCAGGATGCTACCACCACTTTGGGATGTATCTAAGAGAATAGGTTTTGGAGAGCCTTAACTCACTGTGCCTTCATTCATGGATAATTCTAGAGATGCAACATTAGGTGTATAACCGCAGTAAACTTAAAAAATATAGGCTAATAATAGAAGTAGCACTTTAATGAATATGACTTACAAAGTCTGATAATATCAAAAATACAAAGAACAAGGCCCAAAGTGATTAGGTTCAAAGGAGATGGGATTTGTAATTAAGAGATTACAAGAATATTTAAGTTCGGAATTTTCAAGTAAATGAGATAAATTGAGTTGTAGTGAAAACTTTCATTTCGTAAGGAAGTACATGATGAAGAGATTCGCAGGTCAATCTCAAAAGAAGACATCAGCTGATTCGCGCAGTACTGCAGCCGTCTGTCATTAATACGATGTTTGGGTAGATGTAGTCCTCCAATGTTGGAGGATTCCCATGCTTGCAGATATTAGAAATTACCTTCACTGGTCTTCTTCTTGATTAAATATGTAACCGGAGCAAAGTGCGGATGCCTATACCTGATCGCTTGCTGCCAAGACATTATCAGTGAGTGAACTCTGCTCTAAGAAAAAAATACAACTTTGGTGGCCCGGCTGTCACGGAAATAGGGAGACGGGTAATCAAAACCGTCAGAGAAATTCGGCATTATGGCCAAAATGTAATGGGGATCCACATCTGCCCTGTGACCCAAGGGCGCTCGTGGCAATGTGTAGAGATCAGACGCTGCACTGTCATGGTTCGACTTCCGCTTAGGGTATTGCTGAAACATAGGCGAGGTCAAAACTGAAGTCTACCTTGGATGAGATCACCTTTGGGAAAAGCAAGGCTATGTGAAACACAAGGGAAACGTCAGCTCTACTCATATCACTGTGAGAAAATTCAACTATCAGTCCTTAATCACCTTAAACGAAATCAGATGAACACAACTCCTATGGGCGCAACAGTTTGCTCAGGTTACATGCATTTAATCAAGGATACGACCAGTGAAGGCAATTCTTAATATCCGTAAGCATGGGAATCAGAGCTTAGGCAGTCTGCTCGGTAAGGCTGCAGTGTACGCACTTCTAGGGCCTTGAGAAATAGCGCCTGGAGTAAAATTTACACTGGGACTGGGACTGGAACCGAGTGAAATCTATCAACCAGAAAAATAAGAAACGGATCTATGGGACAATGATGGAGATCCGGATCGAAGGCCCGAGTCGGATTAGCCGATCGAAAAAAGAGAGGTAAGTAGGTGTGATGGCGCCACATTAAACTTGCCAAAAAGGGCACAACTTTTGACGTGTTGAATTAAAACAGATAAGTAGTTGTGATAGGGCGGGATTGGGATAAGAGGTAGATAGATGGACCAGGACAGAAAGTAGATTGATGGCACAGCCAAAAAGATTGAGTTCACTTGTTTCCTTGACGAGCTCTAGCAAGACTCATTGATAGTTCCTACTACGATGCCGGCGAAATGTGTGAGAATGTACCAAGTCCACGGTGTGACGCTGGGAATTATTATAACTAATATGACAGAGGACTTCGGACAAGGTGCGTCCAACTAAGTCGTCTCGACAATAAGACCATGTTGCGAAAATGAAGATAACCCATTTCCATCCTAGGGCCCATTTGATGGATTTCCAGTGAATTTCAGAATAAAAAATTAACTCTCACTCCATTTACTAAAGTACATACAAAATATTGAATTGTACAGTAAATTGGTATCTGGTTATGACAGAATTCAAAATATCTATAACTCATTGTTTACAACCTTTTTGTGCTCCCAATCATTTAGGCAGAGATGATAAAGTGATACATGGAAACTTATGGAAAATGAAAAAAACTCTAAGCCCAACTTATTTTCATCAAAGAGTAACAAATTGGTAAATAGCTCTAAATAGTATTTGTTTATGGAACTAATTATAAAAACCCAATATTAGTTTAAATTACATTACCAAGTAATATTTTTACTTTTAGGATATGGCAAATCTTCACTCGAGAAATTAACAGTTATCCCCAGAGTAACATTCAAAAAGTGAACGTTTTTTGTGTGTGAATATAGATAGAAATAGCATTAAATTCCTAATTAATTAATACGTGTGTAGGTTTAAAAGAATGAGTTTAAAAGCAAGTTCTTTGTATCGCAACAGTGAAAAATCAATACAACAGTAAGTGCATGCTTAATAGATATCACTTGTAGAACAGTTCGTGATTCCAAGAGAAACAGAGATTTAAGTGGTTTTGTCTCAAAAATTTAAACAACTTTCACTTTTCTGATTTAGAGGCGTCAATAAAGATTATATGGTGAAGCTAGAGAAATGATTAATTTAAGAGATAATCCTGACCCCAAAAACATTATTCCTTTGGATGACAGATGATTTTAACTAGAAACTTTTGCAATGATTAGTTCCAGTTGTAACGATATTCGTAATTTGAAAGCTGAAAGTTTAGCCAGTTTTCAATTAAAATGAGGTGGGATATCTCGTGGGCTCCGTCAAACTGAACTTCGTATTAAAAGGGTGCAGAACCGCAGGATTCAGCCCTCCTTTTTTGGTGAGATCAGCCTAAGAATCTCATCATGCACTTTTGTACGAAATGAAAGTATCGAAAACAAAAATAAGTTATAATCTAAGGCCAATTGGGTTGATTCAAGGAAAGTTTATTGAGATTTTCAACAATGATACATGTGGGCGTCAAGGTGCCAATGAAATCCACTTGGCATTGCCTATCAAAATGTTATCTAATACATGCGGGACCGTATTCTAGATCCAACCTAGATCTCATCAGCATCCCAAACCGGATTCTATATCGATTTGTGAGTATTGTGATGATGGTATCATTACAGTATACAGCCACGGGTGCCAGTTAATCACAGGACCGATGCGAAATTTAAGGCAAGCCAGACCCATTCCAAATAATATTTACGTTCGGATTGTCAATGAAGCAAACATGCATTTGCCATTGCGATCGACGACATTACTTATTTTCCATTTGAGTAGGTTTCAAGACTTTCAATAATTCTTGAGTCTTATTTGAAGAGCTGATGAGACCTGGGTGCGTTTGAAACTGTAATACAGCCTAGAAGAGAAAACCTTTTGAAGGCAAGGCCAAGTAGAATTCAGTTGCATCACGACGCCTACTCATATAATTGTGCAGAAATCCAATTATAGGCTCATAAATAACCCTAGGCGACCTAGGTTAACTTTATATATACATTTGAAAAACGTTAGAAATATATGCATATACATATATGTACATATATTTAAATAACATTTACTAAAATATCCCTTTTTGTGTATTCATAGATCAGTTTAATGCTGACTCGAATTTGTCATATTTGTTTTCATTAAAACCTAGGCCACAGAAGCATGACTATTATGAGCAGTTTTAAATTTTACTAAAAGAAATGTAAGATATATAGCATATTTCATCTCTGAGAAAACTAAAGCCAATATATACTAGTAAAATAGTCAAATAAATTATGAATAAAATTCTCGATCATGCCTCATAATGCATAGTATTTTTTGCATATGCCAACTCTTGATTCACTCAATAAAATCTTATTATAATATGTGAGTTTAACTTATGTTTCATATTTTTGGTTGAGTAAAAACTCATTTTTAAATATTATTTTATTATCGAAGGTATGAAGACCAAGATAGTGTGGCCGTTTGTGTGGTCGCAGTCTCATTTCGTTGTATAGAGGTTGTTTAACCCTGTTTTCGCAACTTGGTCATATTGGTAGGAAGACTTAGAGGAACGCATCTTGTCAGGAGTCCATTGTATGCAAGATAATTTCCAAAGTCGGACCGCGGAAGCGGTACTTTCACAGACGTTTCGCCGGCATCGTAGTCGACATCTTCAGTGAGTCTTGCCATTCTTAGCACCAAACAAAAACTCGTCAAAGAGACAGGCAAAGCCGATCATGTGACAAAACGTGTGTTAAGCAGTTGTGGTATCTCCCCTTCTGTCTTGGTCCAAACACATTTCCTAAATCCCCCCTTCACTGTTACAATTTTTACCATGCTTAATTTGGTGTAGTGTGGTGTGCTTCTTTGAGTGGCACTCATGAAAACCCTTCACACTCCACGCTGTCGTTCTCATCCCCATCACACTTGTGCTGGGAATGTTGATCAGAGTGACATATTGTTACGCAGACCTCCTTACATAGGTCTTATCACAGACTCTCTCTCGCCAGGGAGGATCAATCTGCTATATCCCTGGTTCACGTATTTCACTCGACCCCTGCCACCCCATCTGTGCTACTCGAAGCGTTTTTCGCCCTCCCCTGCGTCAGGGTAACTAATTCGAGGCTAAAGCCTCTTAGTAAGTCTCTTGGTCACGCCTTTGCTACATGGACCACGTCTATGGTAAAACCTATTATCAGCCAAGTAGATCCAACCTCCACCGCGTCTATCCTGTTTATATTTGTGTACATGGATTGTACAAAAGTTCCGACCCCACCAACCAAATGTTCTGGATCCATTGAGAAAATTCATATGAATTCTTAACGGTATTCGAGAGTCTGTCATTTACTTTCTTGAGCTTCAAACCAATGAATTTTGCTAGTTTGTGTATTGCTCCATGCTTGTTGATGACTATTAGGCTTAGTGGATATCCTTGCTTGTGTATCCGAGAGGCCATTGATATACTGACCGAGAGAAATCTAATGAATAGGAGGCTTGAAGAAGGCAGGATCAGCTAAAACTTTGCATATTGCCTAAACAAGCTCGCAGGAGACAAGGCAACAGTAAGATCAGCAAAAAGAAGACGATTGGATCAAGATAATATCTTTAATTTTAGGAAAAGAGATCGCAGGGGGACTAGAAAGGAACGATCAGAAGCAGAGGAGACGTCTTCAGTGAGACTAATCAAAACAAGTAGAACCACGACATTTGTGGGTTGGCACACACGGGACTCGGACGTAAGAAGCGATGGACATGGTATTACAGATAGAAACAGGAAATACCAAAGCTATTTGGCTAACAATAGACGTGATCCTTGAAGCACGACTATTGCTAGCCAACTAGATCTAGCTTCCACTTTTCCTAGTCGCGGCGCCCTTTTTCAATTAAAATTTTACTATGGCACCCTACTCTAAGTATGGCTATTCGTAAGTAAGAGATAAAAATAAATAAAATTCGTGTATCTTCATTATTATTTTACTTTATTAATATTAAATTAATATTAAATAATTAATGTGATGGATGAGCCTGCAAATTACAGCACATATTTTCAAAATCGAAGCTTCTGCAATATTTCGCGGCGTCTATGTAAAGAGGCCGCACAGTTTAGGAATCACTGGACTACGTTATAGCAAGTCATAGACTTGCTATTATAGATAGAAAGAGAATAGAAGCAGTGGAAGCTAGAGCTAGTTGGCTAAAAAAAGTCGTTATTTAAGAATCACGTCTATGATCAAATACGTCTATTGTTAACCAAATAGATCTATTCTCCGTCGCGTATATCCTGTTTCTATCTGTAGTATCATGTCTATCACTTCTTGTGTGCCAACCCACAATTGTCGTGGTTCTACTTGTTTTGATTAAGCTCACTAAAGACGTCTCCTCTTTGCTTCTGATTGTTCCTTTCTCGTCCCACTGCGATCTCTTTTCCCAAAATTAAAGATATTACTTTGATCCGATCGTCTTCTATTTGCTGATCTTACTGTTGCCTTGTCTCCTGCGAGCTTGTTTAGGCAATATGCAAAGTTTTCGCTGATCCTGCCTTCTTCAAGTCTCCTGTTGATTAGACTTCTCTCGGTCAGTATATCAATGGCCTCTCAGA